GTAGCCAATTTTTTGGGAAAGCATTGTGTGACTTGGGAGCTAGTATCAACTTGATGCCATTCTCAATTTATCAGTAATTGGGTTTGAAAGAAGCAAAGCCTACTAACATCACATTGCAGCTTGCAAATAGATCACTCACTTATCCAAGGGGCATAGTTGAGGACGTTCTAGTTAAAATGGAAATTTATCCAACTGATTTCATAGTCTTAGATTTTGAGGAAGAGAGGAAAATACTTATCATTCTTGGGCGACCATTCTTAGCAACGGTGAGAACACTCATTAATGTACAGAAAGGTGAGCTAACTATGCGAGTCCAAGATCAAGAGGTTACATTCAATGTATTTTCAGCTATGAAATTTTCAAAGGAACCGGAAGAATGTTTTCGGGTTGATTTGGTAGAAGATTCAGTGAATGGGGTACTCATAGGAAGTGGTATTTCAGATCCTCTTGAGAACGGCAAGCTATATAAAAAGGAGGTGTTCCCATATGGAGCAGTCGCAATTGAGGAAACAAATTCAAAAAGAACCTTCAAGGTGAACGGGCAGAGACTGAAGCAATATTGGGGCAACAACATTGATTATGAAAAGACCTCAATTACCCTTGTTGACCCAGGATAAAACAGGAAGTAGTCAGGCTGAAGACTATAAAACAAGCGCTAGTTGGGAGGCAACCCAAAATTTTAGTTTCTAAGTTTTATTTCATTTTATTTTAATTTAGTTTTTTTATAAGAAATAATGTAGTTAGTTTGTTAGTTAGTGTATTTTAATTGGTATGTTAATTGCTTGCAGGTTCCAAGGATTGAACATAAAGCCTTACTAACAGCTAAGAACAGCCCACCTATATTTCCCAAATACACTCCCTACTCAGCGAACGATGAGGATGCTAACGATGATGCGAACTAGCAAAGTCTTAGGGAAGTCCTCTGTCTTAATTTTTTCTAGTTTTAACACTGAGGACAATGTTTAGTTTAAGTTTGTGGGTGTTTTTTTGTTTGCATTTGCATTAGTAGGTATGTATTTAGATAACATGATTTAGTACGACTTGAGTAATGGGTTGATTGAATTTGATCATGGCCAATGATGAATGAGATTAATTGTGAATTCAAGGAAAATTGATGAACATATTGAGTCTGTAGTTTGACATACTAGTTGGCTTTACACTGTTTGTGATCTTTTCATTCATGAGCACATATCCATCTGTTTGGTTAGTTATTATTTAGAGAATTTATCTAGTTAAATACTTATGGGAGATATCATTAAAACTTTAAAAAACTTATTTAAACATCATTCAAAGCGAATTGAGACAATCATATAAGTTTGGGAAAAATATTGGTTATGATGGGTTAGTATATAAAAAAATAATAGTATAAAAAAAATGAGTTTTTGAAAATTATTTTAATTTGATCCTTCATGAGTTAGAAGAAAAAAATAGGAAAACAAAAAAGCAAGAAAAGGGCATGTGGTGAGTAGAGATGGAGCGTAAAACGCACTCACTCATAAACACATGTGGAGAATGAGATGGAGCGTAAAACGCACTCGTTCAAGAAAATGCAAGATGGAGCGTAAAACGTATTCACTCAATAAGAGGTGAGATGGAGCATAAAATGCACTCACCAAATGAATGGAGAAGAGAAAGAAAAAAAAAGTGAGAGAAAAAAAAAATATTTTGACCTTCTAGTTATATGGTTGTTTTAATAAGCAGAGGTTGATGTGAAATGTAAGTTCATAGAGTTGATATTGAGTATCTCCTATGAAGCATTTGATTACGTAAATGTATTTGAGTGATGCCTAACTGAATAGTTTGGATATGTACATGTATTTAAAGGGTCATGAACGGAGGTAAAATTAAGGAGTATATTGAATTGATAGACTTTGCACTGTTTTGAAGTTCCCCGTGAATTATTATTTGAAGTAACTTTTTTGAGACCATTATTCAAATTCATATTGATCCATTGTTTGAGTAGTTGGTTGATTAATTTTTATAGTTGTTGTTTTTAGTATATTGCTTGAGGACAAGTAAAGATTTAAGTTTGGGGATATTTGATGAGTGGGTTTTATACCTACGAATTGAGTACTTTCGGTTGATGAAATTACAAGTTTTTATTATTTTATGTTTCTTTTTATTTGTTTTGTGTGTTTTGATGTTATTTGATAGGAATCATCATTTGGAAGCAAACAAGATTATTTGGAAGGAAACAAGGTCAATTTGGATCCTAAGTATTGGATTTTTTAAGGCTAAGCAACAAGAGAGCTGAAGGCTTAAAGGGGGCAGTGCTGTTCCAGCGCAGAATCAGCGCCCCTGCACCCACATTCTGCCCATTCAGTGCCTTTTCAAGCCCCCGCGCTTGTGTTGGTCCGTGACGCAAATTTAGACTTATTTTTTACCCAAAATTGGACTCTAAAGCTACATATACACTAGGGTTTGAGTGGGGATGGGATATTCTGACTTTTGGGGGCTGAAAACATCTGGGAAAGCTAAGGAATTGGAAGAAAATTGAAGATAAGAATCAAAGGAATCGACACGAAGAAGATTGGACTTGAAGGCTAGAAAAGGATTGAAGATTGCACCTAAGTTTTCATTATTTTCTCTTACTTTTACTTCTTGATTTTCTAAGATATTGTTCAATTTTAGAATGATGTTTTTCAATTACGCTATGAACTAAATTATTATTTAAATTGCAAAGGAACCTATGTCTAGTTAAATTAATCTACTCTCGTTTCTAGTTCTTATTGATCTTATATGAGTTGTTTGTCATATTTTGTACTTAATATATGAATGTGTGGCCAACAATTAATTTGATTCCTTAGATGAAATTGAGAGATGAATTCTAGGGATAGATCTGAATATGATGGCATACGTTTGGTTAATTCTTCTTAGAATTGAATTGTTGGGTTTGTGTATAGAATAGGAATATACCTATATGTCGTGTATAATTTTTATGAGAGTTTGAAATTAATGAATCTATTCCAACTTATTTTGCATAGGAATATAGTAATTTAATTGGGAGAGATAACTTTATCTAAATATCAGAAGAGGTTTGATAAATAACTTTACGTTCTTAGTTAACAACTTATTTTGATCAATTAACTGGAAAGAGAACGGAAAGATTTATACGAAGTATTAGGGGAAGTTGTAATCTTAACTTCTTTTATCCGGTAAATTCAACTCTTGATTATTAAATTTAGATTTAGTTTTCAATTAGTAATTTCATAGTTCAATTCTAATTTTTTAAATAAAATTGAATTGATATAAAGTTAGTACATGAAAGTTATTAGTAATAATTCTCTGTGGGAACGATATTCTACTTATCACTTTATTACTTATTGATCGTGTATACTTGCACATAAATTATCAATATCAAATGTGGACAACAACAGGCCTTGAAAAATTTGAGCCGAGCCTAAGCATACCGAAGCTCGAAAGGCTTAGCTCGATTAACACCCCTAATGACGATTAACGGAGGAAACACCCTACACATTAGTATAAGGGATGGAAGAAGTTATCCTACTAAAGATCAGCCTCCCAACTCTTAGGTCTGAATTGGCAAACAGTACAAAAAACGAGGAGTCCATTGCCAAGGACTTGGACCTAGCAGAAAAACGAAGGGAGTTGGTAGCCATAAAAATGGCACCCTATCAACAATAGATATCCTAAGCACAAAATAGAAAGGTGTGCCTAGGGGGATTCTTGGTCGGGGATTAGTCAAAAGGAAAATCGTAGGCACCGCCATAGAACCAACAAAAATAAAGCTCGGGGCCAACATGAAAGGATCATACAGTGTCACATTAGTTGGTGGCAATGGGTCTTACAAACTCAAAACATTATCGGGGAATCCACTTCTGTGACCTTGGAACATAGTAAACCTACAAAAGTGCTACTTTTGAAGTACCCTCAAAAGAAAGCAAAGATTGAAGTGCCTTCGATCAGCAACCTGGAATGCCTCCAATAAGAAAGAAATGGACCTGAAGTTCCTTCAATATTAGCTAAATTGACCTGAAATACCTTCAAGATTAGCTAGCTAGGTCTTGAAAACTATAAGGCATTTTATTTCAATAAAAGAGTTTTTCACTTACAAAGTGCCTTTGTAAAATCTGTATAATCAAACCAACCTTTGTCAAGGCAAAGGAAAAAGTCCTACGAATAGTTCTACGCATAAGATCCGCGTAGGCTCAGGCATTAAACAACCTACTGCCAAGGTAGGAAGGGAAAAATCCTGACAGAGACAAAACATAAAGATTTGAACCCGATCAAACTTAGGCCCAAGGCTCGACACAACAGTGGAAGGCAAAAGGGTAAAAATTTGAGCCCGAATAGATCGGTTTATTGGTACAATAGTCATCAAAAGTGACCAATATGAATGTCCAAACCCTTTATTGAGGTTGAGCCTCTCTGCTAGGGGAAAGGGCATTAATTTTTCTAACTATGAAGGCCTGAACCCCTAATTGTGGTTGAGCCTCTCATCGAAGGGGAAGGGGCATTAAACTAACTAAACCCTTCATTGAGTTCGAGCCTCTTTGTTAGGGGAAGGGGGCAAGAAATATTTTGAAGTATGAAGGCTCGGACCCTTTATTGAGGTCGAGCCTCTCTAATAGGGGAAAAGGTGTATGAATTTATGTGAATGAAGAAGACCAATCAAGGATCATAAAAAAATGCATTATATTAATCAAAAGATTTGAGTACATGTTTAAAATAAAAAGAAACTACACTGGTTAGGGAACAATGAGATCTGGAATAGCAAGATCTGAAACAGCAGAATCTGGAGCAACATGACTCAAAGCACCAACAACATGATGAAAGAAGAGCACCAGTAGCCCGTAGAACTTCATCCGAACCCTTCTTGAAGTTCACCTTCTCAATCTAGCTAAATTTTTTGGGCAAGCTCTTCCCCGACCTTCTCTATCCCATCTTCAAATGCTATATCTTCCTTAGCCTTAGAATTAGGTTTGAAACTTTTAAACTCTTCAAGAAGGGAAGCATATTCTTCTTGAGTCTGAGAGAGATCATGAGAGGCCTCGACGGTAGGGCACAAACTTCGTGGACCCGTTGGAGACCCTGCAACAATAACACTTAGTCAAATCTCATATCATCAAACCACATAAGGAAAAAGGAAACTTACAAGCACTATCAACTGAAGGGAACTTCAAGAGATCTGGTAATCACTCATCAATTCATTGGTAGCCAAAATAGATTCTTTCACTGTAATCTCTCTGCCCTTGGCCTTCAGGACGAAAAATCACCTCCTCGCCTTGATCAGATTCATGATCTCCATGACCTTCTTCTTCTTGGAGGTGTGTCTTCGCTGCCTTGTCAACTCGATAGAAGACTCGGCCTTGGGGGAAGTGGTAGTAATGTACTCAGAAGCATCATCGCCTAGGGTATCTACTACTTTGGATTGATTGACAGTGAGAGCAATGACCGAATCTCTATCTGATATTGATGTCATCTTAGCCTAAATCACATATGGCCAAATAGTGTTAGGAGGAGGGAAAAACCTTACTAATAGGGGGATTTTGGGAAATAGGAACAATCGTGATAACACTTCGAGATGCCTCTAAAGAGTTGAAGATGAAGTTAGTGAAGTTTTTCACCAGCCGGCCTTGGCAAAAAATGGTAGACTTTTGGCAGGACCTTGGGGTAGAAGCTCTAAGGGTTTTGAGTGCTTCTTAGTCCTTGACAAGGCGAGCATTAGACTTGTCTGGAACAACTATGAAAGAGCGGTATGAGTGATTATAACCAAGTAGCTGGTGTGCAGCTTGGCAAAAGAGCGTCTTGTTGAAAGACCACACCATCTTGAGATCTTCCATGTTGACAGACTAATCTGAGACTCTCCTCTTCATATCTTCTCCTATTCGTTATTTGAAAAGAAGAAAAATTGGAGACTTTGCTAAGATTCTCTTCTAAAAAAAAGGAAATAATTTAAAACATTTAAGGGAATACCTAGAGCACCACTCTCAATGAGGCATCGATAGTCAGGCACTTCCCCAGCATTTTGTTCCAAGTTCTCAAAAACAAACACTGTCTTTTTCATGTTTCTTGTTGGAATCAGAAAGGTGAGTGATGAGGTAGCAGCTCTTGTTCCTAACCGCCAAGTAGTAGTTGTCATCACCAACAAGCTTGATGATGTAGTAGTACAGAATCTCCCAAAGTCTAAGGTTGGTGTCAAGGAGATTATTCAAGGCCACAAGTCCCATTACTATTCGAAAGAAGTTTGTAGAAAGAACACTTAGAAGAAGGGGATGACGAGGGAAATGGACTCCACCTTCAGTGATGGAAATTGTGTGCAGAGGAATAGACTCCCTTGAACCAATATGGGCCTCATTGGCCTTAGGTAGCCTAACCTCCACATCATCGAGGATACTGTAAGTAGCCTTAAAGGCAGGAATATCCTCTTTCATAAGGGGAGCCAGGGAAAAGAGAAAAACTCATACAAAAAGGAATGAGCTCTAAAGCTTATGGAGAAAGTGGAAAGAAAAAGGAAAGAGAAGACCCTTAAAAAAGAAAAGGAAAGGCGCTAAGTGAAATGGCGCCTGCAATCGAAGGGACACTTGCATTAAATGAAGCAAGAAGTTCTACAAAGAGAAAATACATGCATATTTTCTTTTTGCGAGAAACCAAACAATATATTAAATATGAAAATAATGAAATATCAAAGAACGTCAGTATAAGCGTGCCAATTTGAGAAAAGCTAAAAGAAAACGGCAAACAAGTTGGGCAAACCAAATTTGGTGATAAGGTTAAGACACAAGTAGAGTCCATTTCCCATTCAGTATTTCAAGAATTGCTAAAATTGAAAAATAAGTTCATCAAAATAATTTAACGATCAGAAATATTCTTCAAACGAACGATTTTTTCTTTCTTGGATATTTAACTGAGTAATTACTTCTTTATTATATATCTTTTCGGTTGATTATTCTTCACCTTTTTTTAGACTGTAGTCTTATTTGTTTTGTCCTTTGAAACATTGATATGAACAAATATAACTTTAGTTATTCGAATTTGTGACACAAATATAAATCACTCAATTTTAGACTTATCATAAGTTATCCTTATCCAAAATTTATGTGTAAGGTGCCATATATTTGAACTAGTTATTGTCTGTGACTAAAGACACTATATAACACATAAAAAAATCGCAAGTATCTAGCTTGAAAAAGAAAATGGGACGAAAACATTCATACCAATTCCTTTAAAATGACATGTCGATCGTATCCTCCACATTAATAGAACTATCACAAAAATGTATAAAAAAATCTTCAAAACATCACATACACAAATACCTTAGAAAAAAATATTAACGGGCATAGTAAAATTTATAATTTTTAAGCAATAAATAAAATCTTACTCATTTATAACACTTAACACATAACATTTAACAATAATAAAATCATGTCAAAGCTGCAAACTTTGAGTAAAGAAGCACTTAAAATGACAATACACATAACATTCATTCACAAAAGTGAATGAATGAGACAGAGAGAGAGAGATAGAGTTATATGAAAGATGAGAGAGTGTGTGTTTAGATGAGTGTGTTTAAAACGTTTAAGAGATATGATATATATATATATATATAGAGAGAGAGAGAGAGAGAGAGTGTGTGTGTGTGTGTGTGTGTATTTAAAAGATATATGAGATAGAGAGAGAGAGAGAGAGAGAGAGAGTTATATTAAAGATGCGAGTCTTAGAGCTGTAAAATGAATGAAATTCCAATTAGGATTGTCGGATCAATAATCCTCAAACAATCTGAGCTGCGAAAAGTCCAAGATAAACAATCTACCTATTTTATTATATAGATATGTGGAGGTCTCCAATATGTTCAAATCAGTAAAATTACTTCCATAGTCGAAATGAGTAAAAGTATAATTGACAGATTAGGCCCACATGATTTAACAAGTTATTACTTTTTAAATAGTGAAAATTGGTCAAAAATTCAGTCGGATGGTCTTTTAAGTCATTAACTCCAAGCAAGGTACTTTTAAGGCATTGAAACCATGTTAGGTTTTTTTTTTTTTTTTTACCTTCTAATCCAATCTAATTACATCATTTTTTTTGGTGAGAATTGTTGAAAACTACAAAGTTCGTACCTAATTTGTCAATATGTCCAATCACATACTTTTTAAAGCGTGGAGTGTAGCCCAGCTGAATTTTTAAGGCAAAAAATCCAAACTAATTTTTTTTCTTTTAAATAACAATATTATCTCTTGTGTCTTACACTTTATCCAACCAATAATCATTGTCTTTCTCATGGATAAATCCAGTTCTTCTTCCATAGAAATCTACCACCACCACCCACCATCCCCCCACCCCCTACCTCCAACTGGCAGTGAACTAAAAAACAGTGAACTAAAAAGTTCAATTCTTTTTTCGTTCACAATAAATAACAAAACACATTGCGTATTTTAGTTCACTGTTAGCGGGGATGAGTGGTGGTGGTGGGATACGGTGGAAGTTTTTAAATATCCTCCTTCATTAAGGGTATTTTTATTAACTGCATATTTTATAAACTTTTCACCTTAAAAATGTCCAGGGTGGTCCTCTTGCCTTAAAAGTGCATAATTTTTTACCTCTCACTAAATCTCTTTTTATTTTATGTGACCCTCTCAACTTTTCAATATTATATTTTATACTTTGGATAATGGTCCTCATTTTGTTTACCTCTTGATTACTGATTTGAATGCTTTGTAACATTAATCACTCTAATTTGTATTTTTTTGTACAAATTGTTAAACTTACTATTGCGTAGGTAGTTAAATTTGAGATAAATAATCCACTAGAATATTTTTATGTTTCCAATGTGTTCCAACCAGTAATCGATAAATAAAGTGATATAAGGGTTATATTTTCACAAGAGAAAGTATAATTTACACAAACTCTACATATATACCATCCAAAGTCATATAGAATATCCATAATTGAAAGATCTGCACATTCTTTTGATTTTTTTTTTTGGCTTTTCGTAATTTGCAGTTAGTTTTGCTTGGTAATTATAAATTAAGTTTAAATTTTTGATTGTTTGATGAATTGATTTAAACTTATGTTACATTTAATTAATATAACAAGCTTATTTTAATTTTCTTAATTTTATTGAAAATAATTAATATTACAATGTGACATTTGAACGTTGATTTTACTATATTTTATTCAACTATAATTTTTTTTTTTGGGAAAATTTGTGAAAAGGTACACCATTTCATACGTATTTGTGTAAAAGTACCTCAATATAAAATATATGTGTATAAATACATTTGTGTGTAAATTTTTTATGAGGAGATACACTTTTGCTAATTTTAAAATTTTTCTTTTACAAAATTTGCCTTTTCCTTTATTAATAGGAAACAAATCTAACAATTATATTAGGGATACAATTTCCTAAATTTATGGAATAGCATTTTTGAATTTTAAATTATATCTTCATCTTTCATTCAACTGAAGTTATTCAAACATTCATTTTTATTCAAACATTCATGTCTTCCCCACATTTGCATAATTTGTTTTTTTATATATAAATCAAGGAATATATGTTTTCACATTATATAATACCATTCGTTGTTATGAGTGTTTTTTTCCATAGATATTTTAAATTTAAATTTATATGTGTGTTATTTTATGTATTTATAAGTAGCAATAGTACATGTCACATTGGCGTAATTGTACACGATAATGTCACACTGATACAAGCCAATGTCACACCAATACCAGCCCATGTCACACTGATACCAGACAATTTCACACTAATGTCACACAACTACAAATCAATGTCACGCTTGATACATTGACATGACACAGGGCACAATGAAATATCACAGTGATACAATACACAAAAAAAATGTATGACACAAACATCATGAATAACTAAATATAATGTAAATAAGATTGGATAGTATCTTTATTGCTCACTAATCACATTTACATTTCATATGCCCAATGACAATTTGAATAACCAATCATGTATCCCCAAATTTGTCTTTCAATATTTGTCACACATTGAAATTCTCTTCTGTCCAATAATTTTGATGATTCAGAAATATTGACAGCATATCACTGCAAAAGTGTTTTATTTGTCTTTGTGTCGATGTCTATTCTACTTCCTCTCCTATTGTCAATTTTTTCATAATGTAGAAAATGTATACACCACAGTCGCCCTGCAATATGGTTTAAGTTTGTGTCTTGTGATGATTTGTTCAATTACTTAATAAATAATAAATATACTTACGAGTTTGATAAAATCCAGTACCAAGCATTAACCAATAGTTTGATAAAATCCCCAAAAAAGTTTAAACAAAAAAACAAACTTCTTGGTGATTTAAGTAATATTAACCAATTAAAAAAATAGCGGCCAAAATTTGTGTATTGAAAAATACATAACAATTGCTTAAATCACACGGTAACATTCCATTGCAAAATTACTCATTTCACTATAAAAATCAGTATTAACAATTTCTCAAA